CCAGAGCCCTGTAACCGGCAAAAATCTGGATTGGTTGTTCCCTAGACCTGGTACACAGGTATTATACTGGGATCACCACCATACAGTATTACCTTTGCCTCACTTTCTGGGCTGGCATCCTCCAGCAGTGATTGGGTCCATGGAGGCAAAAAAAAATTTTGAGATCTTACATGAATGAAAATACCTTCAGTCTATTTTCACATTTAATGGATAATTTGGCTGAACATAGAATTTTAGATTAGAAATCATTTTCCTTCAGAATTCTGAAAACATTGCTCAATTTTCTTGTGGCTTCTAGGGATAATTTACCAGAAGCACATGCCATTCTGATTCTTGGTCAATTGTATATAAAATGAGTATGTTCTCTAATTTTAAGCCTCTCATCATCTGTAGTATTCATAAATTTCCTAACATGTTTTGTTGTCATTCTATTTTCATCCACTGTAGTGGGCACTTAATGGGTCCTTTCGGTCTAGAAACTTATATCCTCTGTTAAAGGAAATTTCCTTTAATTATTTAATTTCATGATTTCCTCCTTCCTCTCTCTTTCTAAAATTCATGTTATTGGGGCACCTGGGTGGCTCAGTCGTTAAGCGTCTGCCTTCAGCTCAGGTCATAATCCCAGGGTCCTGGGATCGAGCCCCGCATCGGGCTCCTTGCTCAGCGGGAAGCCCGCTTCTCCCTCTCCCATTCCTGCTTGTGTTCCCTCTCTCGCTGTGTCTCTCTCTGTCAAATAAATAAATAAAATCTTTTAAAAAAATAAATAAATAAAATAAAATTCATGTTATCAAATACTGGATAATCCCATTATCTATTTTTATATAGCAAGCCCAAAACCTAGCATCTTAAAACACTAACCATGTTATTTCCATGCAATTCTTTGAGTCAGAAATCTGAGGAGTGCTCAGTGGAGGGAGGTCTCCTCTCATCTCCATATAATATCAGCTAGAGTGGCTCACCTAAGGCCAGACTGTTCATGATGCCTTCACCACATGCATAAAGCCTTGGTACCAGTTGCTGGCTGAGATAGCTAGGTTCTCCTTCTCATGGCCTCTTTCTCCTCACATAGTCTCTCATTATTCAGTGGCCTATGCTGGGCCTTTTTACACAGTAGCTGGCTTCCAACAAGGAAAAAATGGAAGCTGCAAGGCCCCAAACAGGCTAGGCTGGGAATTTACCAATCACTCTTGCCACATTCTACTGATCATATCAAGTCGACGGGCAAACCAAAGATTCAAGGGGAGGAAAAACAGACTCCACCACTTGATAATAGATGGGGAGGAATGGGAGAAATTGCTGGCACCCATCTTTGCAGATAATCTACCAAAGTCCACAATCTGGCTTCAGATTGCTCAAATCTCCTGAGAATAGCAGACACTCATCCAATTACAGTATCAGCCTCAAAGACCAATATCTCATGATCTACACTGGATCTGGATTTGTTCCTCAGGTGTGGATTCTCTTGATCTGCAAACCTGGCAGCTCAATGGGAGAAGAGGGCTTGAAGTAGAAACAAGGATGAGGCATCTCAACATTATCGTTACAGATAGTCTTCCACATAACCCACTAATAATCAATATTACTCCCAACTTTCCAATGTGCCTGATATCCTTCAGGTAAGACACCATCTCTTTTACCTTCTATATAGAATAAACCTCCAATATTCTGTGGGGTGAGGGAGATACCGTCATCCTACTATTCAGAGTTAAGGGCAAGTGGGGAGAATTTGGGATGACTAACATATAATCCCTACCTTTATCCTCACTTCCAGAGACAACTGCTCCCAATTTTTTATCCTCTGGGGAGTTCTGTGGAACAAACTGGATTGCTTTACAGTTTTGCCCACTCTCTGAGTTTAGGATTCAGCTAGCTCACTAAAATGTCACCACTGGTCTACTTTCCAACTTCCAAAAATTTGTCTTTAACTCTTAACCTATCTCTTCTTCCGTAAGTCCTATTTTTCAATCCTTTTATATCATTTTAGTTGAGTTTAGGAAAGAGGAAAGTAAATGTATGTGCTCCAACTGTCACCTTTAACAAAAATCATTTTTATAGGCTATCATTACAAACTTCAATACCAGAGCTAGTGCTATTATAAATTACTTAAGATATAAACCATAAATCACTTTCATAAAAGTGCATCAAAACCCCAAAACTGAGACCAAAGTAGTCAAAAACAAAATTTCCTGATACATGAACATGGATACTTTTAAGCTTAGTTATAATTAAGACCTATCATTTCATCTCAACCAAATGAGTCACACTCATAATCTGAGAGTAATGCTTTAAACAAAACCATGATATACTTTAATACCATGATTCCTTTAAAGTATTTTTTGCAATAATAATTTAACACATTTTTCTCAGACCCTTTCACAATATAAAAACTAAACTTGGTTCTGCATTCTCTTACCTTCTCCTAGAAGAAAGAAGTCACGACTACTCTCAATTTTCTAATACTACTAGTCTATATAGAGAAACCAAGGGCAATATACTGGGTAAGAGCAGGAGTATTATTTGAATAAGCAAACATGACTTACTGAGACCAAAATGGAAAAGAGTATCAGTAATGTAAAGGTGGCAATGCATTTGTTATGTCCAATAAAACATTTCTTTCTGAGCCAAGAAGCTCTAAAGGGATCTTCCATCAAAGAAAAACAGAAAGCAGTACTCTCAAGTTACTCCTTAATTCATAACACAAATTCATCGTAATAATTCTAAAATCCTGGGCTCTACAGATGTATAAAAAATTCACTTGGGGGGCGAGGGCAGCCCCCAGCGCAAGTGTGGCCCCTGGGGCCCAACAGCCTCCCGACTGCGGTGAAGAGCCACAGGCTGCAGTGACAGACGGAGTGGCAGGGCCTGGTGGAGCCCTCGGAGCCAGCTGGGGCACGGACGCCCTGCACCTACCTCACCAAGGGGCCCAGCTCAAGGTGTCCACCCCCCTGGTCCTCTGACCCATGGGCCTGGAGCAAAGGCACAGTCTGGAGACTGCCCACTGGCTCTTCTCTCTCTCCTCCCCTCAGCCTCTCTGTACTACCCCAGGCTAAAGGCAGCCGAGCCAAGGCTCCGAGAGCAACGGTTTGATCTCGCACTCCAAGTGATGAATTCATCTTAGTTTTGGATAGGCTTTCCTTATGGTTTGTACTTCAAGACTAAGGACACTTAAAAGAAAGAAATTGCATAGCTCACCTACTGCCAGCTTGACAGCATAAGTTTTAGGAATCAAGAAGGAACACTGGGTTATTTCCTAAGATTAAGCCTTTAAATTCCAATTGGATGCTGCATAGCTATGTGCACATTTGACCATGAAAATGATCTTCCATCAAGGAGATCTCCTTCTTCAACTAAATCAATTTAAGTGGTTGGAAGAAGAATGGACTCCCTATCCGACCAAACTCAGCCAGACAAATTAAATCAGTCTTTTTGGGCAAGGAGTAAAACTGTTACAAGGGTGGCCTAATCACTTTCTGCTCACACCACCACCGAACAGCCCCTTCCAGGACTGTCACCTATATGTAGGTGGTGCCCTATACAAGGGCACCTGGCTAAGACAGCGAATGAGGGCTGAAATCCTGCCAGGCTTCATTCACAAAGCCAAGTTTATTGGTGTACGGCTGTGTCTACTCAGACGACACGGTTCCTTTTTCTAAATTGTACCAAGGCACCCTGTATGGGCTAGAGGCAGTTCTGACCATCCTACTACCATATCCCTGTCCTACCCAGGATTATATTCCTTACCTCAGATGGACTGAAGATTCTCATGAACAGATTAGCCTTATTGTAAAAGATGAAATGTTTGACACAAAATGAAATTAATTCCATAGGTAAACTCAAAATATTACTGTAGATATGAATTATGTTTGTGTGTATTTTTATATATATAAATATACAGTTATGTGGATACACACTTCTATATAAGAAGTTAGCACAACTTAAACTTAGTAAATGCTTAAAATAAAAAAAAAATCACTCTGGATTTCTATATAAAAATACTTAATGAAGGAAAAGAATTTTTTTTTTACATTAGACAATCAGTTTGGCTTTTTATATTCTAAGTTCAGACAATTTTGAGTTAAGAGAGAAGATAATGTCTATGTTCCAAAAGAGATTCTGGTTAGATTTGATATGTTCTCATTTTCATTACTTCTCTTTTTGTTTAATAAGATTCTCACTCCCTAGTCTCTGGTTGCTCCCTCATGGTACCCATCCTCCCAATTGTATCAACATTTATCTTCCCAAATTAAGGCTACTATCCAATCTCTTCTTAAAACTCCTTCCTATGGACCTCTGCTTCTCCATTGTATACTCTAGGTTTTATATGATAAAGTACAAACACCACTGTTGTCAAAGTCCATTAAAGAAATTCTTAATGGGATAACCAGGCCCTCGGAATAATAGTCCTATTTATTTGTGCCCTGTAATTATAATTATTTTCATGGTATAGAAAACAAATGTGTAAGCAAAGATAAACTGAGTATCATTTTAGTACCAAAATAATACTCAAATATTAATGAAATGAAGTGGTGACATGCTACTGAAAAGAGTAGTCAATTTTTTTCTACTTTAAGTCAAAAGAGTTATAAAAGATCTTATAAGTGGACTGACAAAAGAATGATTCTCTTAAAGTTTACATAGGGCAAACCTGAGATTAGAATGATCTGCATAAGCTTTCATACAGTTTTTAAGATTATTTTATTAAGATTATTTTAAGGCAAATTAATATCACATAAATGATGCAAAAAGATAAATATGTAATGCTGTTAGCATCAGTTTCAAGTAAAACATATAAAACTCCATATGCTTCTACCTGTCTGCTATATAAAAAGATTGATTCAAAGTCACTTGCCATTTTGGGTGGCTCAGTCAGTTAAGTGTCTGACTCTCGATTTCGGCTCAGGGTTGTGAGATCAAGCCTGCTTCAGGCTCCACGCTGGGCATGGAGTCTGCTTAAGATTCTCTCCCGCTCCATGAAAAAAGAAAAAAACAAAGTCACTTGCCATTTTTGCGAGAAGTCTTCTGCACTGTCATTGGTGGGCACGACTGAGCAGGAGCTACATCTGAAGCAGCAGGAGAGCCTGTATGATGAGCCTTTACTTTGTCAGCCCAACTGACACCTGTAGGAGCCAGACGGGGAGCAGCCACTGTGCCTGGTGAACCCCTATGGAGAAAATTCTGCATTAATAAATCAAATATAAAAGTTAAAAATTTTTAAATTTAAATATATACTTAATATTATTCTGGGTCTCTATTTCTGATTTTTCTTTGTTATTTCCTTCCTCTACTAAATTTCAGCTAAGGATCTTCTTTTTCTAGTTCCTTGTGTTGTAATTTATTTATTTCAACTATTTTTCTTAATACAAGCATTTATAGCATAAATTTTACTCTAACATCTGCTTTTGCCACATCCCATAGGTTGTAGAATATTGTGTTTTCTTTTTTTTTTGAGACATATTTTGATTTACCACTTGATTTCTTATTTGGCCCACTGCTTGTGCAGCAGTGTGTTGTTTAATATTTACATATTAAATATTTAATATTTACATTATGAAAAATAAAAAATTTGAAAAAAAATGAAAAAACTAAATACCACGAAATATTATGCAGCCAATAAGAAGAAATGGAATATGCATGATAAAAAAAAAAAAAGAACTTCCAAATAAAAAAGCAGTGTAACATTTTATTCCCCACTCATTTGGTTATATGTCACTTGTCTATCACTGTTATTTACATCATGCTTATTTAAATGAAATTTAATTAACACAGTTCAAAATCCTTTAACTTTCAAAATAAAAGTTAAAATCTTTTTTTTGCTTAATATATTTAAATTTTAAATAAATCGGGTGTGTATATCCACATATATAGAATACAACCAGAGCAATTTAAGTCAAAAATATTCATAAATTTATGTTGGTCTAATACTTCATTAATCTAATATAGTATAACATACTGTATGGGAACAGGGATAATATAAAAGCTCTCATTAATTCAGTTTAAAAGAAAATTTCAGTTAAATGGGGGAACCTTAAAAAATATACATATATACCTTGAACATTTTATTTCAATTTAAAAACTCCTATCTTTTACGAACCATGAGAGACGATGGACTCTGAAAAACAAACAGGGTTCTAGAGGGGAGGGGGGTGGGAGGATGGGTTAGCCTGGTGGTGGGTATTGAGGAGGGCACATTCTGCATGGAGCACTGGGTGTTATGCACAAACAATGAATCATGGAACACTACATCTAAAACTAATGATGTAATGTACGGGGATTAACATAAGAATAAAAAAAAGTAAAAAAAAAAAAAAAACAACTCCTATCTTTTAATAATATAAATGTGCATTAATTTGTCAATCTATTGACACAGACATTACCAAAACAGGCTTTTTCTTTTTGTACATTTCTTACATGAACCATGACCACAAGTATAATGCCTCATTGGCAATATCCAATTTTGGTTTCTTTAAAATGAAGTGAGAATTTAGTGACACCTATTAAACATTCTAAGGGTATAATCCTCCTCAACTTTAACAATATTTTTCCCAATCTTTTGACAGCAAAACTTTAATAGTTCACCTTTATCAAAGCTTTCTAACAACTTGTCTTAAGTTTTCACAGAAACAATGACTCTTTTTATACTCATATTTAACCGGTTTATTTAATATTTAAATTATGAGTTAAATAATGAAGACAAAGCAAGTTTGGTGACTATATATTCTGAGTAAACACTTAACCAGTAAGAGGAAAGTGAGTAGATATATTAAAAAGTAGCCTATGAACCACAATTTTCAGCACACTGAAAAAAAGTAGGTTTTATAATGATAATAAAGAATGCCATTTAATCCAACAATATGAATAGATGGAGATCAGTACAAGAACTTTTACCATGCATGCATTAAAGGCTTCCAATGTTAAAAGAAAACATGCATTATACAACATTCTGAACCACAGACCAATGGACTACATTATATAAGTACATCCCTTAAAATGGTGCTTGAATATACCGTTACTTGGTTTTGTTTGCTTATATATCTTTCTCCTATTCCACTGGTTCTACTCAGTAACCTTAATGAGCTTTTACTAAGTGCCAGGTACAATGTTAGGTGCTTGGGATACAGAAGATATGACAAGGACATTGCGTTAAAGAAGATTATAGTACAAGTACAAAAAAGAAACATTAAAAAGGTTATAATACATCACAAATATAATAATAATACAAATAGATGCAAGATTCAGTAGTAACAAGAGATGACGATGACTGTGACGTGGTTGGGGAGGGGATAAAAAGCAGTCAAGAAAGGTTAGGTTTTTGTTTTTTAAGATTTTATTTATTTGACAGAGAGAGAGAGAGAGAGCGCACAAGCAGGGGGAGGGGCAGAGGGAGAGGGAGAAGCAGGCTCCCCGCCGAGCAAGGAGCCCGACGTGGAGCTTGATCCCAGGACCCTGGGATCATGACCTGAGCCGAAGGCAGATGCTCAACCGACTGAGCCACCCAGGCACCCCAAGAAAGGTTAGGTTTTAACACAGGAAAGAGAAATGACCAAGTAAACTACTTACCACCCCTCCAATTACACATACAATATTTAGATTCGTTCTGAAGAATTAAGAGTCCAAACAAAACTATGTCTTAAAAACAAATTTCCCCAGGGACATTTAAGGACAACAACAGTGATGACTGTTTAACATTATAGCTGCCAGAAGTGACAGTAACATTTGGGGCAAATAAGGAGCTGACTAAAAAACTTTAAAGGAAAATCTGGAGAATGGAATGGCCACAGGGGGCTTTGAAAAGCTCCTACATGTTCCTGGAAATCAAGAAGGCCACACATATGTACAGGGGTTCTGTGCATGCCCCAGAAAGATCTGAGAAGGCCCTAACACCTCACTTCTGACTGACCTTGAGGCTCTGAAGAAGTAGGAAATGAATGCTAGAGCACTGAAGGTATGTACAACACATACACAGGACTAGGAAACTTCTGTGAAATCAAGCAGAAACTTTAGTGACTACACATGACAAAGAAAAAAGACTTCAGAAAACTAGTTCAAGAGAGTTTTTGAACAGTAACAATATCACCACCACCAAACCCACAACAACAAACCCTGAAGAGGTAGCAATCTGATCTCCAAAGCTGCCACATTATTTAAAATATCCAGTTTCAACAAAAAAAGTCACAAGACATGCAAATAAACAGGAAGGTATGACACATTCATACACACATAAAAGAACAGTAATTGAAACTGTCCTCAAGGAAACCCAGACGCTGGGCTTACTAAACAGACTTTAAATCAGGTACTATAATTATCTTCAAAGAATATTGAAGAACAAAAGAAAATTGTGTCTAAAAAACTAAAGTATGCAAACAATGTTTCACCAACTATAGTATCAATAAAGAGAAAGTAAATATAAAAAAGTACTACATAGATACTCTGAGTTGAAAAATACAGTAACTGCAATGAAAAATTCACCAAAGGGGCTCAACAGCAGATTTAAGCTAACAAAATAAAGAATCAGCGAACTTGAAGAGAGGACAATTGAGATTATCTGAGAAACAGAATGAAAAAAGAATGCAGAAAAACAGACCCTCAAAGACCTGTGGAACACTGCCCCAAGTACCAACATAGGTATAGGGAGATTCCCAGGAAAGAAAAAAGTGCAAAAAGGATATTTGCAGAAATGGACAAAAACGTCCCAAATTTGATGAAAAACATTCACCTATACATCCAAAAGTTTCAATGACTCTAAATAGGATAAACTCAGAGATCCACACCTAGATCCATCACAGTCAAACTATCCAAAGACAAAGATAAAACCATGAAAGAAGCAAGAGAAAAGTGAGGCATCTCAAAATGGATCCCTAATAAGAGTAACAGTTGCTTTCTCATCAGAAACCATGGGAGTCAGAAGGAAGTGAGAGGGGGCGCCTGGGTGGCACAGTCAGTTAAGCACCCAACCCTTGGTTTCAGCTCACGTCATGATCTCAGGGTAGTGAGATTGAGCCCCAAGTCAGGCTCTGCAGTCTGCTTGAGATTCTCTCTCCTTCTGCCCCTCCTGCTCATTCTTTCTCAAATAAATAAATGTCTTTTAAAAAAAAAAGAAATTTTAAAAAATTTAAAATTAAAAAAAAAAATTTTTTAAATTAAGAAGGAAGTGAGAGGACCTATTCAAAGTCCTGAAACAAAAAGACTTTCAACCAAGAATTCTATGCACTATACAAAACTATCCTTCCAAAACTGAAGGACAAATTAAGATATTCTCAGAAAAACAAAAACCGAGAAAAACTGTCAGTAGCAGACCTGCCAACAAGACATACTAAAGGGAGTCCTTCAGGCTGAAATGAGAGGACACTACACAATAACTTGAATCCACATGAAGATATAAAGAACACTAGTAAAAGTAACTACATAGGTAAATACAAAAAAAATATATAAATATTTTTTGTTTATAACTTTTTTCTATCTGATTTAAAATATAACTGCATAAAACAATAATTATAAAACTGCATTGAGCCTGTACACATGGGGTAGAGCCAGCCAGGAGGCAGGAGAGGCCAGAGCTGTCATTCTGGGCAGCCCACTCGAGGATGGCTCCCAGTCTTCCGGAAAGTGCTCGGCTTGGGGAAAGCAAACCCTCGCCCTGCTCCTTTTCAATTGAGAGCATTTTAGGATTGGACCAGAAGAAAGACTGTGTTCCTTCAGTGAAACCCCACAGGCCTTGGGCAGACACCTGCAGCTCCTCAGGGAAAGATGTTAACCTATGTGTGCATATCCCGAGCCTTCCTAATGGGGTCTCATTCCCTTGTACTGTGGATCACCCAGTACCAGAAGAAAGATTTTTGAAATGCGAAAATTACTTTTCAGCCTCAGAAAGACTGTCTTTGAAAAGAGAGCTAAGTTGGTATAGAGGCTGGAGACCCAGAACTGCTTTTAGTCAAAACCAGATTACGTGTTGGAAAACGTCTTTAGAGTTAACTGCTAACGAGGCACTGATATCAGAGAAGACTTAGCTCGAAAATTGAATCTAGAGGAAGACAGAATCCAGATATGGTTCCAAAATCAGCGTGTAAAGCTGAAAAGGTCCCATAGAGGATCACAGTTTCTAATGGCGAAAAAAAATTTCAACACAAATCTCTTGGAATAGATAGAAAACTAAACACGTGAGATTATCTTACAATTGCAGAACATGAAGAATCAATGGAAATATCAAGTGTTAAAAACGTGATGTTTTCTTTTCTGCATTTATCTAAGCGTTGTCATTTTTTCTAAAATATATTGTAAATATTTACTGTTATAACATGGTACCTACTATACTTGGCACTTTTAGTTACAATAAAGGCCTTTCCTATATATTTTAATAAAATTTTCATAAAAAGCCAGTTATTTTTCAAGTGAGCAAATTTAATCTAATTAATTAGTTCGCTAAAACTCATGACTAGGTGATTCCACAAGCTGGATTCAATTTACAAAATAATTCAAGTAAAATAATCTGAAGAATGGCACAAAGATCTGATCTGTTTCAATTACTTTTCTTCAAGTGCGTTTTGCAACATGATTATTAGTTTCTCTTAATTTCTGGCATGAAGCAGTGAAAATTTCTCACCATCAATACAAATCCTTCTAGCATGCCAGTTTCAAGTTTGTTTGTTTTTTTTAAGCAAAATCATTATAGCAGGGTAGAGATAGAAAGGCATCAGTTGTCATATTCACATATATTGCAAAAAGATTCAAATTGGAAATAAATACAAATTTTTAAAATATTAAAAAAACTGCATTGATAGGATTACAATGCATAAAGATACAATTTTCAGGACACTAACACAGCTTATGAAATATATTTAGATCTTTCGTTGTGAAAGCAATTGTCAATTCATGTTATGAATCATTTAGCATGACATATGTTTATGGGTTTTAATTTTGGATCCTAATTATATTTGAATATATTACATTTCCTAAAAGCTAAATTTTACTCTCTTGGATTTTTTTTTATTCAAACAATTTCAAACACAAACATATACATGGATTTTTTATAGTGGAATATCAGTTTTATAATACTATATTATCCACAGAAAATAATTTATTGTAATGCAAGCCTTAGTTTTTTTTAGTTCATCTCACCCAAAATTTAAGCTTCTTCGAGCATTTGATGTCACACTTATTCTATCTGTTGATGGACTTGGAATCACATGACGTCCTGGAGACATTTTCTTTACTTCCCAAGCCAAAGAAGTTGGTCTGTCAATTTAAGACATACAAGAGATTAAATTAACAGAGAAAAAAGAAAAAAACCTAGTATTTTTTCTTGGTTGTTAGTGGGTGAAAACATAATCAGGTCACAAATTTTCCTTAGAGCACTGTTCACCAGAAAGTTACCATATTACCCAAAAAGCAACACATATAATGCATGGTCCAGGATTTTCCACCCACTGTAGCATAGCAACATAACCCTACTTATCTAAAAAGGCCATGGGTTTACAAAGACATGAGATATACTACTTATGTTTTAAAAGCCTCCACATACCCAGCTAAAAACACATTAAAAAGGCAATGGTACTAATTCAGTCTACTTATACAACTCAATTTGTGTCTGATGTCCTGGAAAACCAAGTGTGTAGAACAGAGATCAAGACAGAAAAACAGTTGTGAGGTTAAATGAAGAATACACAGGAAAATATGAAGTCTCCTTTCCTCTACATGAGAGTGGGAGCATAAACATTCCCTTGCTCTTTGCTGGGAAAGCTAACTTCTTCACTAGTCCCAGAACCTTGAAAGGATGCACAATCTTTACTAAACCGTTTTCCTGGGACACGTGGGTGGCTCAGTCCCACATCTGGCTCCTTGCTCAGTGGGGAGCCTGCTTCTCCCTCTACCTGTTGCTCCCCCTGCTTGTGCACTTTCTCTCTCTCTCACTTTTTCTCTGACAAATAAAATCCTAAAAAAAATAAAACATAAACTGTTTTCCTCAAGTAGCGTTTTCTCTTTCCTAATTGGCCTCAGTACGAACCTCTGTAACTCCCCAGAATCTCCTTCCCTCTTACTTTCCATTCAATCTAGTGGTTGTGATTTTTTCTCACATTAAAAAGTGATATTTGTTGGGGCACCTGCGTGGCTCAATCGGTTAAGTATCTGACTCATGATTTCAGCTCAGGTCGTGATCTCAGGGTTGTGAAATCAAGCCCTGCATCGGGCTCCACACTGTGCAATGAGCCTGCTTGAGATTCTCTCTCCCCATCTCTTTGCCCCTCCCCAAACTCTTTCTCTCCCTCTCTAAAAAAAAAAAGTCATATTTGTTGTCAGAAAACAAGAAAATGCAGATAAAAGATTATCCAAATTAAATCTAAAGCTTTTGACAATTTGTCAAATCACCTTTCAGAAAGCTTCTAACAAATCATACTTCTACTAGATGAAAAGTGCCCATTTCCGTTGAACCTTGCCAACAGTTAGGATCTTGTTTTAGAAATTTCAATGGCTTGTGAAAGAGATGGCATTGCTTGCAAAGTCTAAAAACATTACTACCTGGCACTTTATAGGAAAAGTTCGCTGACTCCTATGCTAGAGTTTCAGTCTTGTGAGGAGTTTTCTTTTTCTTTTCTTCTTTTTTTTTTTTTTAAGATTTACTGATTTATTTAGTTATTTGGGGGGGAGCACACCAGTGGTGGGAGAGGCAGAGGGAGAGGGAGAGGGAGAATCTCTCAAATCACGAGTTCTTTTTCTTACAGAAATTTCAATAACAGTGTGTTTTTAAATTCATTAGCAAAAATTTTTTTGTTGTTTTTAAAATTATATATTTTTATTAACATTACTAGTGAGGCTGAACTTTTTTTTACCAGCCATTTAAATTTCTTCTTGTGGGGGGGTGGTGCCTGGGTGGCTCAGTCGGTTAAGTATCTGACTCTGGATTTCGGCTCAGGTCATACTCTCGGGATCCTGAGATCAAGCCCTGACAGCTCCACGCTCAGTGGGGAGTCTGCTTCTCTCCCTCTCCTTCTGCCCTGCCCCCTGCTTGTGCTCAATCTCTCTCTCAAATAAATCTTTAAAAAATATATAAAATAGGGGCACCTAGGTGGCTCAGTTGTTAAGCATCTGCCTTCGGCTCAGGTCATGATCCTAGGGTCCTGGGATCGAGCCCCGTGTCGGGCTCCCTGCTCAGGGGGAAGCCTGCTTCTCCCTCTCCTGCTCCCTCTGCTTGTGTTCCCTCTCTCACTGTGTCTCTCTCTGTTAAATAAATAAATAATCTTAAAAAAAATAAAATATATAAAATAAAAAATAAATTTCTTCTTTGGTATTTGCATGTTGGTAACTTTTGCCATTTTTTTCCACTGGGATTTTCATCATTTTCTAATGGATTTGAAATCATTTACTACTACTTCTACTATTATTACTATTATGGCTACATATCCTTTGGCATAGATAACATAACTACTTAAATTTTAATTTTTCATGCAGAAAGGCATATTTTATTCCTATTAAATCAAGCCTATTAATACTTTCCTTTGTGGTTTCTGCCTTTGTCTTATAAAGTCCTTACCCACAATAAAAATATATAATTATTTATCTATATTTTCTTCTCTAACTATTTATACTGCAGTTTTTACATTTAAATCTCAAATGAATTTTGATGCATGATTTGAGGAAAGTAAGATGGATAATGCCATCCACAGGGAATTTAAGGTTGCTTTCTGTATCTAGGAGCTGCCTCAAGAAGCAAAGAGCAGATATGCTAATAACTGGTTAAGATAAAAAGAGAAGTCTCAGGTGTGGTACCTGGACATGGTACCAGGACAGAGTTAACTAACTTGGACTTGGCCTCAGAATCTTTCTTAATACAATCCTCAACACAGCCACAGCTACCTCACTGAAGTTTATAAGCAGGCAAAAAAAATCTAGTTAGCTTCTTATGCATTGGTGGTGATATTATATAGACCCTTTTGGATACAAGAAACAGAAACTCAAGTTAAATTTAAAAAGAAAAGAAATAAAGATTTACTCTAAGGATAAAAACTATATAAGGTCAAGGACATCCAAGGTGGGGAAAAACTAGAATCAAGACTCATGAGGATTAGACCAAGAGGAAAGAGGCTTAAAAGCAACAATCTTAAGCTCTCAAAGACCACATGATTTCCTTCATCCCTGATTCTCTCTGTATATCTATTCCATTTTCTTTGAACCTGCTTTCTTCTGCTTATTTTCACAAGAACAATATAGCCACCAATCTCAAATTAGCATGATGATCCCTTAACTTGGTTCAACCCAGTGAAGGAATGTACCACCCCCAAATCTAATCACCTCTTCTCAGGGGTTAGGGGTGAAACTGCTTGGTACAAACATGGACTAGGCCTGACCCACCCAGGGACTGTGGGTAAAGCAAGTACCAAAAAAACCGTATCAAAACTTGCCATTATGAGATGAGAAATAAGTCAGTTAGAGAAAGACAAATACCATATGATTTCACTCATATGTGAAATTTAAGAAACAAAACAGATGAACATAGGGGAAGGGAAGGACAAATAAAATAAGATGAAAACTGAGAGGGAGGCAAACCATAAGAGATGCCAAACTCTAGGAAACAAACTGAGGGTTGCTGGGAGGGAAGTGGGTAGGGGGAAAGAGTAACTGGGTGATGAGCATTAAGGAGGGCACTTGATGTAATGAGCACTGGGTGTTACATGCGATCACCTAAATTCTACCTCTGAAACAAAAAAAAAAAAAGAAAAGAAAAAAGAGGCAAAACAAAGGCTGGGGGAGACAAACCAAAAAACAGATTCTTAACTATAGAGAACAGATGGCTATGACGGGGGTGAGGGGGGCGCGAATGGGTGAAATAGGTGAAGGGGATTAAGAGTACACTTATTGTGATGAGCACAGAGTAATGTACAGAATTGTTGAATCACTATACCGTATACCTGAAACTGATATAACACTGTATGTTAACTACACTGGAATTTAAAAACATTTTTTTTTCATCATGAGAAAAAAAAATGTTGAAAGGATCAACATATCATGGTTTCCCTGAATTTGGTTTCCTGGGGATCAAGCTTTCCTGGATTTGTCTCTTGGAATTCGTTCACTCCCCTGGATCCCCCATGGGGCTGATACAGATAGGACAAAAAACGTGTTCTCTACTGGACAATTCCACTTACAGAAATTGAACCACAGTTAAATCCAAGGGAAAGAGGCAGCCTAGGCCTGTTTTCTCTGGGCGAAAAGGTATGATTGTAGCTTCATGTGACTTGGCCTAGTCCACAAGGGCTCAGGTTTCACTTATAAGCATAACTAAATAATAAATTGTTCTTCTGCCTTTGCACATAACCAAAATAATATTAAGTCTAGTTGATCACCTATCTCTGGAATATCTCTCAACTCTCCCTGTTGCTACTATTCTAGTCTGAGTAGCCATAATCTATAAACTATACTGCTGCACCTCAACCTTCCCACACTACAGCCAGAAAGATCTTTTAAAATCACAATTCTGATATGTCACTTCCTTACTTAAAAATATTTTATGGCTCAAAATAAAGTCTTAAGTTTTTAACATGTCCACAGAACCCTACATGATCTGGTCCCAGCCTACTTCTCTAGGCTCATCTCATGCTACTCTTCCCCTTGTTCTCTCCATTCCAGTCCTGCTAAACTCGAAATTCCTTTACTTACTGTGCTCTCTACTTCCAGGTTATCATATATACCATCACCTCTACCTGGGGTTACTCTTTTACTCTTTCTTTGTCATGCCAACTCCGACTTGATATTTCTTTCTCACTTAAATATGACCTCTTTGGGGAAGGCTTCCTGGATTCAGCAAACTGGTTGATCATGCTTTTCCTTATATTCCCAAAGTACACTGTATTTTCATGATACTTTGTACACTGATAAGTATTTAACATCAATTTTTCCTGTGAATGCACTATATACTTCATGAGGACGGGGACTGTGTCTGTTCCCTTCTCCACAAACAGTCCCAGAGCCTGGTGCATAGGACTCAGATGTTGTGTGGTGATTCCAAATGAAGGTTTCTCAAAGCAGATGAACATAGGGGAAACGGGGGAAGAGAGAGAGGCAGACCATAAAACAGACTCTTAACTACAGAGAACAAACTGAGGGTTCCTAGAGGGAAGGTGGGCAGGGGGATAGGTTAAATGGGTGATGGGATTAAGGAGGGCAATTGTGATAAGCACTGGGTATTATATGTAAGTGATGAATCACTAAATTCTACTCCTGAAACTAATATTACACTATATGTTAACTAAATGGAATTTAAATAAAAACTTGAAAGAAAAAAAAGTGAATGTTTCTAAAGTAACTTTGATCTCTCATTAGTCCCCTAATCAAAAATCATCAATTTTCCCCACTGACTACTACCTTAAGAAATACTATATGTTTCCCTACATTACTTTCACTTCACACATGCTCTGCACTTCAATAGCTGTCTTAACTTACTCTCTTCATCTAAAAGGCCAACCATGGGGCGCCTGGGTGGCTCAGCTGATTGAGCGACTGCCTTCGGCTCAGGTCATGATCCTGGAGTCCCGGGATCGAGTCCCGCGTCGGGCTCCCTGCTCGGCAGGGAGTCTGCTTCTCCCTCTGACCCTCCCCCCTCTCATGCTCTCTCTATCTCAGTCTCTCTCTCTCAAATAAATAAATAAAATCTTTAAAAAAATAAAAAAATAATAAAATAAAAGGCCAACCACTTGTTAAAATCCATCATATCTTTTAAACACTTCTTCTGCATCCTCCATGAAATATTTCCTGATCTATTCCTTACAAGAGAGATGACCCTGTCCTGCCCTGAACACCCGCAATAGTTTTTTTGTGGTAATAAGTCCTATTTTACCCCACCCTTAGGCTACAAATTCATGAGAGTAGTAAATGTATCATATTCAGCAATTAAATCTTTCTACTGGATAAAAGTACCTTGCACTAGGTAAGTACCCAATAATATCTGTTACTGAACTGAAGGAGAAACACAGCTCCCAACTTTTAGATTTTTACAAGTTTCAAGTTAAACTTAGGTCAAGGTCATTGTCAGTTTCAATTACTGCTTTTGAAACTGCTGGCTGCTTATAGACCAGAGTTCATTACCTGCTTTGAGCATCTGTCTTCTCTAGCTTTTCCTGAAGTTGAATCCAGTCAATCAATGCTTTGAAATCTCTTACATAGTTATCCAGCATCATTAGCACCTCCTAATTAAAACAAACAATAATCATTAAATTCCATTCTGATACTGAAAAGTTTTAAGAACAAACTTTAAACTGAAGGACTTGGGAATTAATAATTTTTACATTATACTCCTCATTGAGAAAGCAGCAAACCTACTGATTTAGTTTTTTGGGTCTTATTTTATTTTTATTCTCACTATACGGGAAGAAGTTAGTAAAGCTGAGAATCTAAGGATCAAGAGTTAGTGCTGATATTCCTTCTCAAGCTCCCCCCATGACCATTCTTTTAATAAACCTTTTTTATTATTAAGTTTAATAAACAGTAAAATGCATAAGACAAATGTACAGATTAATTATTTCAAAGCAAAGACCCCTGCATCCATCCACCCAGAACAATTTTAGTCTCTAAAAGTTACCTGGTGTCCCCTCCTAATCACTACTCTATCCTTGCTCCAAGGCAACCACTGCTTTGACTTCTAATAGTTTAATTTTACCTGATTATGAAATTCATATAAATGAAATCATAGAGTACTTAGTATTTTGTGACTTCTTTTGTACTTTGGTTTACTAGGTTCATTCATATTGCAGAATGAACCTGCAATACATTTACTGTCATTCTCCAAGGTCACTACTGAAGAATATTTTATTGCATGCATATTTATTTAACCAATCTATAGTTTAAGAACATTGGGGTGATTTCCAGATTATATGCTGTTATTTATATACATGTCCTCTGCACATACGTATGCATTTCTGTTGAGGATAAGCCGAACAGTGAAAATACTGAGTCACAGGATGAGCATATATTCTACTCTAGTATATAACACCAAACTGTTTTCCAAAGTGGTTGCCACTCCCTACCAACAGTGTATATGAGTTCTCCTTGCTCCACACCCCCAACTACACTTCGTATTATCCATTTGGGGTTTTTATTTTTAACCTGAGCCATTCTGGTTGATGTTGTGTAATGGCTTCGTTTTTGTTTAATATGATGATGATTAATGATTTTCAGCCCTTTTCATATGCTTATTAGCCATTCTCATTTTGTGAAGTGCCTATTCAAGTCTCTAGCCCAAGTGCCTATTAAACACTCCTGCCTTTTTCTTTTTGATAGGAAGGAGTTCCTTACATCTTTTGGATATGTGCCTTATATGTGTTGTACACATATACTTGCCTTTTCACCTTCCTAATGGAATAGAATCTTTTGATGAACATAAATTCCTAATATTAAGGTAGTCTAACTTCTGACTCTTTTACCTAAGACTGATGCTATTTGTGTCATTTTTAAGCAATTATTTTCCTAACATAGGTCAGAAAGATATTCTCCAACATTACCTTTTAGAGCATGGGTCTTTTTCTGGAGTCTCTCCTCTGTTATCTTGATCTGTTTATTCTTGTGACAATACCAAACTAACTACACTGCTGTAGCTCTAAAATAAAACTCAAGGGGCGCCTGGGTGGCTCAGTCGGTTAATCGTCCAACTCTTGATTTCAGCTCAGGTCATGATCTTAGGGTTGTAAGACCAAGCCCCACGACAGGCATGGTGCTGAGGCATGGAGCCTAAGATTCTCTCTCCCAGAGGAATTAGGATGGCAGATGTGTAAGGGACCCTAATTTCGTCTGGTCCCTGGAATTCGGCTAGATAGTTATCAAATCATTCTCAACACCTGCGAAATCAACTGGAGATGTGAGAAAAGAATTGCTGCAATTCTACAAATAGAATAGCGACCACCTTTCGCAAGATAGGAGGTGCGAAGAAGAATCCGAGGTGATATATCTGAAGATAAACCACAGGGGGAGGGAACCTGCATAAGCCAGGTACTGGAATAAGCAGGAGAGCACAAAATCAGAACTTTTAGAAGTCTGCCTGGAAGGTGCTCAGGCGGCAAAGTGGGGCAGAATCCCAGGTGGGCGACCATGGCCTCAAGATCCCCGGGGTCACAAAAAGAAAGGGGGCAGAGTTCCCAAGCACTGGAGCGGGGAAGCCAGCTAAAAACAGTGAGTCCAAGCACTGGCTTTCTGCTCAGTGTCGCCATAAACCACGAACCACTGTGAGGTTGGGCGACTGCTCTCTGAGCAGGGGTCCCTCCCCTGGGAAGAACGGTGCAGGTGCACACCACAGGAGTCCGTAAACTTTGGAGACTCCAAACAGGGTCGGGGTCACATACCTGAGATAAAAACGCTCAGTCACAGGCTGGGTGAACACAGAGTGTGGATGAAAATCAGAGAGACAAGAGTGATTAACTGCTTTTCTGTGAGGGCTCACTGAAGAGTGGGAGCGGGCCCTCAAACTTTCAGCTCTGGGGTTAGAGATCAGGGCACCACCATTTTCACTCCCCCCATTGGTGCTGAAAGCCTTCAGGCACCAAAATAGCCACATAGTACAACCGGGGGCCACTTACACTGAGCCCAGACTGCTGGCAAAGGAGGGATGCAATTCTGCCAGGGCAATGACACCTGAGAATCAGCGTAATAGGCCCCTCCCCCAGAAGACCAGCAGAAACACCCAGCTAATCCCATGTTTACTCATCATAGAGAACTGCAAAACTCCAGCTCTTGGGGAAAACAGAATATAGCATTCGTATTATTCTACAGTCTTTCAGTTTTATATTTTTTTCCTTTTCAGCTATTTTCTTATTTTATCAATTCTTTTTTTTAAGGCTTTTTTATTTTCATTTCTACATTTACATTTTATATATATTCCATGTTCATGGACTGGAAGAACAAATACTGCTGAAATGTCTATACCACCCAGAGGGATCTACATGTTCAATGCAAACCCTACCAAAATACCACCAGCATTTTTCAAAGAGCTAGAACAAACAATCCTAAGATTTGTATGGAACCAAAAACAACCCTGAATGGCCAAAGGAACGTTGAAAAAGAAAAGTAAAGCAGGAGGCATCACAATTCCCGACTTCAAGCTCTATTACAAAGCTGTATTCAAGACAGTATGGTACTGGCACAAACACAGACACACAGATCAATGGAACAGAATAGAGACCCCGGAAATGGACCCTCAACTCTATGGTCAACTAATCTTCGACCAAGCAGGAAAGCCAATGGATAAAAGACAGTCTCTTTAACAAATGGAAAGAATATCCAGTGGATAAAAAAGTCTCTTTAACACATGCAGAAAAATGAAACTGGACCATTTCCTTACACCATACCAAAAAATAGACTCAAAATGGATGAAAGACCTAAATGTGAAACAGGAATCCATCAAATTCCCAGAGGAGAATACAGGCAGCAACCTCTTTGACCTCGGCCGCAGCAACTCCTTGCTAGACAAGTCTCCAAAGGCAAGGGAAAAAAAGGCAAAAATGAACTATTGGGACTTCATCAAGATAAAAAGCTCTTGCACAGCAAAGGAAACAGTCGACAAAACCAAAAGACAGCCAACAGAATGGGAGAAGATATTTGCAAATGACATATCAGATAAAGGGCTAGTATCCAAATCTATAAGAACTTATCAAGCTTAAATAAATTAAAATAAATAAAATAAATAAAATCTCAAAACCCAGTAAAGTAAATCCTCCAACTATATCTTTGACTGCAGGGTGGCCTAGGCTAAACCAGCCCTTCGCATTTCCATAAAAATTCAGAATCAGTTTCTCAATTTCCCAGGGGAAAAAAGGTAGAATTTTATTTGTAATTGCATTGATTCTATAGATCAACTAGAAGAAAACTGACATTTTTATAATATTGTCTTTTCTATTGTATGAAGAAATTTATATATACTTATATGTATTGTATTTTTTCAATGTCTCTCAAAATGTATCACAGTTTTCTGTGTAGAGGTTTTGCACATCTTTTATTAGCTTTAGACCTAAGAATAAATGGTAGTTGCTTTAAATTTTTTTTCATTTTCTGTTACTGTTGTTTATATTTTGAACTTGTATCCAGCAACTTTAACTAACTCAATACATCTAATAATTTCTCTTTAGAATCTTCTAGATTTTCTAAGTATATAAATGTAAATATGTCATCTGTGAATAACAACATATTTCTTTCTTTCTCTCCAAGACTTATATATTTTATATATTATTCTTGTCTTCCTATGTTGGCTAGGTTCTTAATTAAGTACAATGTTGAATAGAAATAAAGAAAGCAGACTCTGTCTCATTCCCAATTTCAGAAGAAAAGTTCTCAACATTTCACCATTAAGTATGATGTTTACATAGGTTTTTTGGAAGTTTCTATCAGTAAGGATGTTCTCTTTTATTCTCAGTTTGCTAGTTATATCATGAATAGGTGCTGAATTTCATCAGATATTTTTCCTAAATCTATTGGGACAAACATATGATTTTTCATCTTTATCATCTAATTTGGTAAATACTAATTTCATACTGAAAGGTTAAAACCAACATTTCAGTACTAGAATGAACCTAATTTGATTGTGATGTATTGTCCGATATTTGAATCACCAGATTCAATGTATCAACATTTGGTTTAGTATTTGTGCATCTGTACTCCTAAGTGGTCTATACTTTCCTTTCTCATAAAAGCTTTGGTTATCAAGATTATGCTGAAAAGAGCTGTCTCTTTTTCTATGTTCTAGAAAAGTTTGTGTAATACTGGCTTTTTTTTTTTTTTGGCTCAAAATATAACATTTTTTTGTTAAGATATAATTCACACACTACAAAATTTACCATTTAAAATTATACAATCTGGTCATTTTTAGTATATGCACAGAGTTGTGTAACTAATTCCAGAACAATGTCATCACCCCAAAATGAGATCCAGTACTCATTAATAGTCACTCCCCATCATCCTCTCTCTCCAACCCTTGGAAACCACTACTCTACTTTCTGTCTCTATGGATTGGCCAGTTCTGGACATTTCAAATAAACAGAATCATATAGAATATGGTCTCTTGTGGCTGGATTTTTTTACTTAACATTTTCAAGGTTCATCTACCTGGTAACATGTATCTGTACTTCAGTACTTTTTAGACTAAGTAATTGCATAAACACATTTTGTTTATTCACTTATCAGTTGATGGAAATTTGGCTTGTTTCCA